ATTGAAATTGAAATTGAAATTTAATAAATTTGTATGCCAACCAATCCCGTAGGACTCTGGGCGGCTTACAGAGACAAGATAAAAAAGTTAAAAATTAAGAATAAAAATTCAGTTTTTAAAATAACACACCATCCATTCTGTCTCGGCGGGGCTGGACATTGATCAACAGCCCCAGGCCTGCTGGAACAGCCAGGTTTTGGTGGCTTTTCGGAAGGCCGAGAGAGTGGAATATAGTTGAATATAGAAACCATGTCCTTTTACTAAAAATGGCATGGACAACTTTTTAAAATAGATGCAGGTTTCTTCTTCTTTTTTCCTTTTAGAAAAATGTTTAGTCTCAAGACCAAGAGCGTTATGAACATATGACCCATTGTATTTTGTGGCTGCCAAATAAGCATTAAAAAGTAAAATTGGTACTCTAATGCTTGCATGTTTAAGGCACTTATTTTTCCACAAAAAAGTATGCTACTGAAAATAGGTGGTATTATTGCCATTAATACAAGGGGAGTTATGCTGGGATTGAAATTTACATTGTGTTCTAATCTTTGAAAGGATTGTTATAAAATAATGTATCGTTGATATTTGTCACCAGAGAAATTGTCTAGAATGTATAAAGTTATTTTGAATCTTCGTTGGAAATGGGAATATCATGGACATTTTATGGTAGACACGTAAAAATTGTTTTTATATATACAGTAGATAAACTATTTTGATGTGTCCACCATTATATACATATAATTATTAATATATAATAATATATTAATTCAGAAATTTAAAATATTAAAGGATCATTGCAACTAGAGGCCTGTCTGAGATTAATGAACAGGTAACTAGAAAAAAGTCATGGAAATTTGGTTTTTATATATGACAAATGCAACAAGATTATTATATGTTCAAAAGTGGAAAGATCCGACATTATTCACAATATAGGAATGCTTAATGAAGATGGTGGAAACTGCAGAGATAGCTAACGTAACTTTTTTGATTAGAGAAAAGAAAATACGTATCTACATTTATGGCTGACTGGAAACCACTTACAGACAGAAAAAATGATTTATGGTTTTTATGATTAGAAAATAACTATGCTAGGTTATATTAAAAAGAGAAGTTTTCTTTTTGTATATGTAGAATAAGGGATAATTATGTAATCATACTTGTATTTGCTGCAAAGGAACTGGGAGGTTTCTATCTTTTCTTTTTTTGTACTTTTGTAGTTTTGTCTTTTTCCTTTTTCTTTATAATATTGAATCTTCTATTTAAAATTGTTAATAAAATCTACCACCAATGCTAACAGTAAGGAATGAATTTCTAAAGCCTCGGTGATGGTTCATGCCTTCTTTTAAAAGCCTTCACAGATATTTCATACTGGGAATACTGGGAAGAATATTGCTCACCCAATCGCCTTTGGGCCCCATATCACCTTTGAAGCCAGGGAATCCATCTTCACCCTAGGAATCCATAAAAGGTCAAAACATGAGAATAATAAAAATGTCAATCTTATTTTAATGCTGAAATGCAAAGAAAGAATCATGTGTTTTAATGGTTTGCAAAATTCATTTTACTTCAAACCTACAGTTTTACTTTTTGTTCTTATCCCCAACCCCCATCCAAAACAAAGAGAACATATATATATATATATATATATATATATATATATANCATTCTTGTAGTCTGTCATTTTTAAATCCACCTTCAGATCAGTCTCAGTCTTCTCTGGTTAAATAGGTTCATCTTCCATATAATTTTTTAAACATGATCTACCAATCTATCTATAATTGGCAGAGACTCTTAAAATTACATTTTTGGTCCATTGTTCATCCTCTAATATTAAAGTATTGTTCCATGCTGCATTAGTAAGTCAAATTTAAGTGTTTTTCTGCTTTAATTGTACTATAATCTTCAGTGCCCTCTGGCTCCCTTTAGTGTCTAACTTTCAAAGTCCCATCCTACGATATTTTTAAAGAATTCAAAACAAAAACATTTTCCCATGGAAAGGATTTTTACAATTAATTCCAAAATTTTATTTCAGATCCATCTGGCTCCCAGTCCATTTATAACTTTACAGAATCAAAATACTAAACACCATTTTGCTTTCTATTTGAAAACAAAAACCACCTCTAAGATTCTTAAATTTATTTTTAAAGTGAGTTTCATAACTAACACAACAACAAGCCCGAGGTGCAGCGAATAAAAATGTATCAGACTTCATCTCCTTGGATGACAATATCCCATTGCATCCCAGGCAAAACATTTTAAATATAATCTAGATACACACTATGGGATTCCCAGAGAACATAGTATCTAACACAGAGATGGAGAATCTCTGTTTTACAAATCGTTTCCACAAAGAAAAACCCTTTCTGGATTTCTAAAATTGGAATGAAAGAATCTTCGCTGAATCCTAACCTCCTAACCTCAAACCCACCTTTGGCAAGCTTTCTGTGTACTGAAAAACATGACATGAACTGGCCTAATCCTTTTGTACTTGGAAAGTTGACGGTGGGATTTATTATTTCATCATTTTATCACATAACTTTTATTTTAACATTTAACATCATTTGTTAAGTTATTATACGATCTCACAAAGGCAATCCTCCTCCTACTTATTTATTATTTAATTATTATTATTTAATAAATTCGTATGCCGCCCAATCCCGTAGGACTCTGGGCGCCTTACAGAGACAAGATAAAAAAGTTAAAAATTAAGAATAAAAATACAGTTTTTAAAATAACACACCATCCATTCTGTCTAGGTGGGGCTGGACATTGATTAACAGCCCCAGTCCTGCCGGAACAGCCAGGTTTTGGTGGCTTTTCAGAAGGCCGAGAGAGTGGAAAGGGTCCGGATCTCTATGGGAAGATTGTTTCACAGGGCCGGAGCAGCTACAGAGAAGGCCCTCCCCTGAGGAGCCGCCACCCGGCATTGTTCGGCCGACGGCACCCGGAGGAGGCCCA